AAAAAAAAAAAAAAAAAAAAAAAAGAAACCCAAAACCTCTTCTTAGCTTTTGGAAAGGTAATTTACCAGGTTATTTACCAGCAAATGACAAACAACATGCACGATTACCTTATTTACCTAAAGGCCCACTTAGCTGGTATCTTTCAATCCCTTGGAAGCGAACAAAAAAAACAGGACAAAGCAGGGCGCCTGGGTGGCTCAGTGGGTTAAAGCCTCTGCCTTCTGCTCAGGTCATGATCCCAGGATCCTGGGATCGAGCCACGAATCAGGCTCTCTGCTCAGCAGGGAGCCTGCTTCCCCCCTCTCTCTCTGCCTGCCTTTGTGCATGCTTGTGATCTCTGTCAAATAAATAAATAAAAATCTTAAAAAAAACAAACACACACACACAACCCAGGACAAAGGACCAAAGGTCTTGTGACATCCCTCCTGAGCAGTCAAAGGATTACAAAGTCCAGCCACTAAAGGCAATGCATTTTAACTGCAGGAGAGTCTCTAATGCCCTCTCTGACTACCTGCTCTTACTTTAGACAATTGTAAGTAAGGTGGCTGATCAGAGGTCACAGACTTGAAGGGATCAGGGAGGACTGCCAGGGGCGGGCGCATTTAAGGCAAAGAGGAGTGAGAGCTGGCAGTCCCACCACAAGGGAGACAGCAGGACTCTGAAAAGCAATCAAGAGAGCTCCAAGGACAGCCACTGGGGCTGCAGAGGGTCAAAGCAAACAGCTCTCCACGTCTTTGCAGACCAGAGGGTACCGCTGCTTGGACCTCAGACCTGCCCACCGATAGGTCAGCTCTCCTGGGGGTGGTGTGGGGTACTAGGTATGGCTAGATGACTTGCTCTGGCTAATGAAATGTGAATGGAAACAGGGAGTGGGTGGCCCTTTTGGGCAGAAGGTTCAAGCGCTAGCAGGCGCTCCATCACGACAGCTGGCAGCGAAAGCTTTCAGCCAGCCTGGGTCCCCAAGTGCAGATAAAGATGCCACCAGGCAGAGCTTCCCCAACCAACAGAGATCAAAGACATGGGCAAGAAATACACCTGTTACCTTTGGGGACTGCTTGTTAACGACTGCATAATCTAGTTTATCTTAACAGAAACATCCTAAAAAGTCAGAGGTCGGCTCACATTAAGAAAATGTGTGCATTATCTTTTCGGTAGATTGCCACTCAAAATATTCTATTTTGTGGCTTATTAGGATAATTTTCAATTATATAAAGATTCACCTACTCCAGTGTGGCCGGATAAGTGAGTCAATACCAGATCATGAACTGAATGGGGGAGGTGGGTCCAGTTTCTGAGTACCTTCTTAACGATACCTACATAGACATGGGACATACTTGCTGGGTCTCCTGGGCTAATGCTGCCAGCACTGGCCCCCAGCACCTGCAGGACCAGCCCCAGGCACAAAAAGTGGCATCTTCTGGTTCTCTGAGTGCGGACGGGCTCTGGTCCCCGTATGGGGGTTTGCAGGCTCTCTAAAATACTTGTATGCACTCTCCTAGAAGAAGTCCGTAATGTGTTGTTGAGTAAAACGGCAAGTCCCAAACTTCAAAATATACAGTCTTTTAAATCATATATGGAACATTTATAAAACTGATCTTCCAGTGGGCCCAAAAGCAAGTTTCAACAAATGTTGAAGGATGAAGAACATAGGGTTATTTTCTTTGACCACAAAGCAATCAAGCCAGAAAACAAAAGATAGTTAAAAAAATCTCACATATTTGGAAAGTAGGAAACATACTTTTAAATAACCCATGGGTCACACATCCTTACGCTTAATCCGCTGAACAATTCATGGTGCAGATCCCTGTTTTAGAAAGTCGGGAACTGAGAATGGAAAGAGAACACAATTTGCTCGAATTTACACGGTGGTGGTAGAGCCGGGACTCAAAACCAGGATACACAATTTTAGAGCCCAGTGCTTTAATAAAGGATTTTCTCTTTATACTCTGTCTTGCCAGAATTCCTAAGATTCTCCCAAGTCTCAGTGGACCCGGTATTTCGTGTCTTAGAAAGAACAGCTATTGAGAGGGGAGACATGGTCCCTGCTTACTTTGGTGGCACTGACCTTGGGTCTACTGTGTAGACCCTTTTTGCTCCTGCCTCATCTGGGGTCCCCTACCTGGGCTGAGGTATGATGTCTGAAGGAGTGGAGAGGAGAGTTTCAGGATGATGTTCCCGGACAGCTTTGAGTTAGATCTCCAGGAAGATTTCCTTTCCTTTTAAAGTTTTTTTTCCCAAATGGGCATAAGTGGTAAGCGAACAAAGAAAGACAGAAGGAAAAGTTACCTCCAGATGGCTCGCCATCTTGCTCTAATGTAGATTAAATAAAGAAAATATTCCAATGTATCATTAGGCAAACATGAGTATTAATATCATTCATATTATAAATGGAACAGAATGGAAATTCAGTCTATATCTTGACATACATTTGAGGCTAGGGCCTCAGAGCCGGAAAATAGACAATTATAGCGCCCTGATTCTGGGCACGTTGGAGGCTCATGATACCTGAGGTAAGAGGAAAGACCAAAGTGTTCCTAGATATCTCCGGGGAGCAGGGGGGCTGAATTATAGCCAACCAAACCATCTCCCTCCTGTGGCAAGGGCCTGTTCAAACGGCCACTTAATGGTGTTAACCTACCTTCTCCATCTCCACCAACTTGTGTGGGTTCCTGTTAAGGTACATTTCTGGCAAACCTCCCTGACACCCAGAGCTTCTGTGATACCACTCTGGACCTCAGCTTCTCTCCCTATGCTGTGAGGACACTACTCCCACCCTCCTCTGTGGGCTCATAAGTCTGAGTCCTGACCATGTTTCATGGAACAAGAAAATAAATGGAGAATCTTGATGGTGGTCCATGTCCTAGAAAGTTACCTAAAGTGCTCAGAACTTACCAAATGGCCCTGGGGAGGGAAAGGCTGAGAGGCAGGAAGAGGTAGTGCTAAGCTGGGCTAGAGGTCCTGAAGGTGGGAATTTCACTCCATCCTTTGGTTTCATTTCTTCCACGGCAGAAGATACAATGGCCCAAGGGGAGAGAGTAGGCCCCTGGGTTAACACTGTTCAGCTTAAAGCTTGAAGTAACCCCCCGCCCCCCCAGCTCTACCCCACTGCTTATTCCCCACACCGTCAGGGTTCAGTTCCCAGAAAGTCAGTAAGTGATCCAAGTCCCAGCGTGAGTTTAAGATCAGCAAGTCCAAGATCAAAGTACCCAGTTATCCAATCAGCAGCGTAATTACATCCTCTTAATCTGTGAGGGTCACATCAACCACTTCTTGATAGGAGGCTACGTGTCCCTGGGCAGGCCCCAAATGGGAACTCAGCTCAGTGACCTTTCACAAATGGCCGGTTGTGCCTACAGGCTAGACAGATGGTGTGGGGCCCCTGGGGTGAGTGATGGTCCAATGCCTTCAATGAGGCTGTTCCACTGGTCATAGTCCTCTTGTAGGTCTGTGTGGGAAAAAAAACAGGAAGGTTAGGGAAATCTTTGTAAGGTTAGTTCAAAGAGTAGCTACCGTGGATTTCGGGGGTCATCCTGGAAAAGAGCATCAGGGATATGGAAAGGACTGGTTATGGTGGGTGTGATGGTGAGAGCACTATGGTAACTAGTATGCACTGAATGTTTCATCAGTGTGCTTCATAAATGACTTGCTTGACCCGGAACAACCCAGTAAGGGCAATAATAATAACAGAAGGCAGCATTTACTGAAGGGTAATGCATCCTAGAAACGGTGCCAAACACGCACCGATTCATGTACTTTTCACAGTCTCCCTATGCAGAAAGTCCTGTATTAGCTATTTTAGAGAGGAGGAAACTGAGCCTCAGAGAAGCTACCCTATTCACCCAAGGTCATTCCAATGGAGAAATGGTAGAGACAGAATTCAAACCTGGGTCAAAGGCATGAGAAAATGGAAAGCCCACGTCCAAGCTCAGGGAAGCCGTTGAGCAGGAAGGAAGGGATCTTTGCACGTCAGCCGGGGGACCACCATGATGGGTGGGAGAGAACTGGATGGCAACATCATGAGGCAGCCCATCACTGGATAGGATTCCAGAGAGGGCCCTGGGATCGCAGGCAGATGGGTCTACCATAGCAAGAACAGTCAAAAAGGGACTAAGGCCTCAGGCGGAGGGAGCAGGGCACAGCTGAACAGGCAAATGGTGCTTTTGTTCCAAACAAACAAAAGCTGTGACAGAAGGCAGGGACCACTCTCCTTCATCTCTGGATCCCCCGTGCCCTGCCACAAACCTGGCAGGGAAGAGTTCCTCAACAAGTAAGTGTTACATATTCATCAATTCAGAAACTATCAAGCACACCCATGATGGGCCAATCTGTTCTTGGTGCTAAAAATACATCCACACAAAAACAGAAACCCTTATCCTCGTAGAGCTCATAATCTAATAGGCAGAGGTAACAATAAACACAATAAATTATATCATGTGGGAAAAGGTGGTAAGTACTATGGGGAAAAAACAGAGCGGATAAGAGAAGCAGTGGTGGTGCCTGGGAGATGGGGATGAGGGGAGGAAGGGAAGGTACAGGGCCGTAACAAGGGGGATCAGCGGTGCCTGGGTGGCTCAGTTAGAAGAATGTATGACTCTTGATCTCAGGGTCATGAGTTCTAGCCCCACACTGGGTATAGAGATTACTTAAATAAAATAACTTAAGGGGCACCTGGGTGGCTCAGGGGGTTAAAGCCTCTGCCTTCGGCTCAGGTCATGGTCCCAGGGTTCTGAAATTGAGCCCCGCATCGTGCTACCTGCTCAGTGGGGAGCCTGCTTCCTTCTCTCTCTCTCTACCTGCCTCTCTGTCTACTTGTAATCTCTGTTTGTCAAACAAATAAATAAAATCTTTAAAATAAAATAAAATAACTTAAAAAAAAATAAAAAGTAAAAGGGTGGTCAGGGTGGGCCTCATTGGAGAGATCTGCACAAAGACCTAAAGGAGAAGGGAAGACGCCACGGTACCAAACAAAACAGTGTCGCAGACAGCGGGAACCGCAGTGCAAAGACCCGGAAGTGGGCGTGTGCCTGGAGCCCTGGAGGTTTGCGCAGCAACACTGAAGGCGGCCTGGGGAGGAGCAGCAGGGAGTGGGGGATCAGGAGGGACCGAGGGCCACATCAGACAGGGCCAGCAGGACGCTGGACATTGGCTTTGACTCTCAAAGAAATGGGGAGCCATGGAGGATTCGGAAGAGGGGTGTGAGAGACTGGACTTAGTTTCTATCAGGTTCACTCTGGCCACTTGATGAGGAAAAGACCATGTGGGGAGGCAAGGGCAGGGAGAGACAACTTGGACAGGGTGACAGTCATGGGGGTGAGGGCATGTGACCACATGCAGTCAAAAGGTAGAGCCAAGAGGATTTCTGAGGGATCGGAAAGGGGAGCAGAGACAAGAATGAAGACGTCAGCTTGAGTAACTCGGAATCGGGTTTTGTTAGGGATGTCTACTGGGTGGAGAAGCCCTGAGTGGTGGGTTATACAGATCTGATGCTCGAGAGATCAAACTGGAGACATAAAGTGGGGTGTTGTCAGCCTGAGACTTACCCACGAGAGTGGATAGATAACGTGAGGGGATACAGAGACAAGGTCCAAGCCCTGAGCCCCAGAAGCAGTAACGCAGACTGAGAAGGAGCAGACGTCCAGACAGGAGAACACCCACAGTGGGGTATTCTGGAAGCAAACATGGGGTTTCATGGAGGAGGGCATCACCAGCTCTCTCAGAAGCTGCTGAGCACGGCAGCAGATGAGGAAGGAGAACTTGCCACCGGGCTGAGGGTTGTGACGGTCACTGGCCATGTTGACAAAAGCAGTTGTCACAGGGAACCGGGATGCAAATGCCTGACTAGAGTAGGTTTAGGAGAGAATGTAGAGAGAAGAGCCAGAGAAAGTAAAGACGGACATTCTTTCAAGGAGTTTTGTTAGGAGGAACAGGGAAATGGGGTGCTAACTGGAGGGGAAAGTGGGGTCAAATAGGTATCTTTTAAGAGAAATTTCAGGGTGAGGGGCACCTGGGCAGCTCAGTTGGTTAAGCATCTGCCTTCGGCTCAGGTCATGAGCCCAACCTCCTGGGATAGAGTCCTGCATCAGGCTCCCTGCTCAGCGGGGAGTCTGCTTCTCCCTCTCCTGCCTCTCCCCCTACTTGTGCTACGTCTCTCTCTCCATCTCTCACTCTCTCTCCCAAATAAATAAATAATACCTTTAAAAATAAGAGAGAGAGAGAAATCTCAGGGTGAAATGAACCAGGTCAAGAGGGGCAGATTGACGTCTGCAGATAAAAGGAAAAACCTGTTGTCACAATCACCTTGAACCCACGGGGGGGAGAAGGGAACGTGGTGTGCGGGTGGTGGGGCTGGCCTTAGAGAACGGACTGGGAGCTAGTAGCCAGGCATGGAGCAGAGCACCACACAAAGGTGGGTGGATGAGGTGCTGGGATTTCGAGGAAGTACCGGCTACTTCCATTCTCTCAGTGAGCTGGGAGGCCAAGTTCATCAGCTCAGAGACAGGGGAGGGGAGGGTGTCAGAGGTCTGCAGAGAAAGGAGAAGGGAGAGTGGAAGAGTGGAGAGAGAAGATGCCTACAGCTCATAGGACAGAAGCACCGATCTTCTTAATAAAAGAGAAGGAACATCCCTGGGTCAGTGGCAGATACGCTCCCAGAGGCATTTTTAGGAGCGGGGAGAGGTACAGCTCGCTGCAACCCATTTTGGTTTCCTGTGTGACATGCACCATGTGGCCACCAAAATGCTTTTCTCTCTTTGCAAAGCTAATTGCCCCAAACGGAGAGGCTTTGCCTTTTCAGACTCTGTCCCATCTCTTCTCGCCTAGTGACACCAGAGCCTCGGAGTGGGACCCTCAGCCTCTCAGACAGGCCCACCGCCCATCATCCATGATGCAGCTGGACGGCCCACGCATGTCTACTCATGACACTCCCTTGCCAATGGACTAAAATCCACACTCATTTCAGCAAATCCGTGGCTTTCACACCTGGCTTCTGCCCACTTCTCTGCCTTTAAGTTCTGCCAATTCACTCTCCTGGGCTCCAGGCACACTAAACCCAGTTTCTCCAAACCGACCACACAAGCCTCTGTGCCTTCTGTTTACAAGACCTGGGCCCCATCCCTGGTGAACCAGACTCATCTGTTAAGGTTAAAGACACGCATCACTTTGTCTGGGGATCCTCCTCTCCTGGCTGTCCTTTCCCTTCCATCAGTTTGGTGCCTGCTCTGTGTGTCTCCTCAAGACCGAGGCTACACCTTGGTCATTGGAGTCGCTGGCAGGACAGGGCATCAGCCAAGTATGTGGGCTTTGGAATCAGGCAATTTAGGTGCATTTTGGCCTTGCCACTTCATAACCAGATAACTGCGGACAAATTACTTAAATTTCCAAAGCTTCATTTCTTCATCTATAAAATGGCGTTAATGAAACGAGTACCTACCAGAGAGGGCCATCTTTGGGATTACATGTGATGGTGAATCTGAGTACTTAGTGAAGGCCTGGCATAAAGCAAGTTCTGGATAATCTCCCTACGGTCTAAGACTCTCCTTCCCAGCTCTTCTGTTGGTCTCCAGTAATGAGCATCTTAGCTCAACAGATACCACTCCTAAAGGCAGCCAGATCATGCCACTGTGGCCTCCCCTGCCATCTTTCACTCTTTAGCTAATGACATGATGCTAACAGTGACCAGGGAGAGTGGGCCAAGGACCATGTAGTCAGTCCCCACTGCAGTCTAGGGTCACGGATCCATTCCCTCTCCCATGAGGTGATAGGGCACTGCTTTAAAGTATTAACCCTAAGGTCTCTAAACCCAGGGGGCGTCATGGCTCACAGGAGCAAGATGAAATGAACATGTACGTAGATATGTAAATTCCGGTTAATAGAGTCAATACATTCATAACAGAATAAATATATTTTAAAAGCAAACTGAATCTGTGGGCACCTGGGTGGCTCAGTTGGTTAAGCATCTGCCTTCAGCTCAGGTCATGAATCCCAGGATCCTGGGATCAAGTCCCATACCGGGATCCTGAGTCTGCTTCTCCCTCTGCCCTTCACCTTGCTTGTGCTTTCTCTCACTCACTCCATCTCTCTCAAGTCAATAAATAAAATATTTTTTAAAAAAAGAAAGCAAAGTGAATTCACACCAAATTTGTTAGGCACTCAGGCCATGCAACTAGACGTCTAGTGTCCAGAGCATAGAGGTGACCGTCCTGCTCTATGTACCACATCCAGCATGTCAGGTTCAAGTCAGGGCACCACACATCAAAAGGCACCCTGACAAACAGTGCATCCAAAGGGGATAATAAATGGCAACATGGGGAACCGCATGGGGAACAGGTGGAGGTACCATGGACATCGAGCTTACCGAACAGAAAACGCAGAGAAGACACCACTGCGGACTTTGAGTACCTGAACAGCTGCCACGTGCAAAGGGTCTGCAGCTTCGCTGGGTGGCCCTCGAGGGGATGACCAGGCCAAGCAGAGAGGAGTCAGAAAGGATCAGATCTCGGTCTTAGGCTAGAGTGAGGTGACCCTGGACACTTGGGGTGGCCTGGCTCCCTTCTGAAGGAAACTGCTCTGTGCACAACACCGCTGAGGGATCAGTCTGAGGCACACAGTGGTAGCCGCCTCCATTCTTTCTTTCTTTCTTTTTTTTTTTTTTTTTAAGATTTTATTTATTTGAGAGAGTGTGAAAGCAAGAGAGATCAGACGGAGAGGGAGAAGCAGACACCGCTAAGCAGACAACCCGATGCGGGGCTCCATCCCAAGAAGCTGAGATCATGACCTCAGCCGAAGGCAGATGCTTAACCGACTGAGCCACCCAGCCCCTCGCCTCCTCTATGCTGGCTGGATTTGAAAGGGACATCGGTCAAGAGAGCTCCAGGCCTCAGTGGGGCACTGGCCTACAACGTACTGCTAAATAAAGGTGAGCTGGGAGATCAAGCTGTATCTCTTGGGAATCTGGTCGAAGAAACCCAAGAAAATATGGCAGTGAGGACCGAGAGCCACAGAGGAAAAGGATGCCACGAAGTAGGGAGACCAAGCTGTGAGTGGTTTGAGCTGACCGAAGCTATGAGGAACATAGTTACCTATGAATAAGGAGATGCTATCAGCAAGAGAAAAACCATAGTAGAAAAGAAGAAAATAGACCAGAGGTAAGAGAAACAGATATCATTAGAAGAGACAGAGAGACTGAGCCCACGAAAGAGACCAGAGAGAGCGGTCAGTCCTGTCAAGTTACCTGGGTTCCCCTAACTCTTCACTTCCCACGTGGCCAGGTGTACTTTCATAAACAAACTCTCCTTTTTTTCTCAAGGTAAATGATGGAATCTCCAGTCCTTGTAACCAAAAGGAGCCTAACTAGAATATCAGTCTGAAAATGGAGAGGCAGAGGGGGCTGACCCTCGTACCGGTGCACTCTCCATACTGCCTGACTGTGTGGTGGGACGAAGGGAGAGGAGATGTCCCCTGGGTGGAAGGCTGCACCAAAGACCTCTACAGGCCTTGCCACTTAGCTGGTCAGTGATGGATGACACTGGTCATAAGCCTTCCATGCTTTGTTTTGTTTAAAGCATGTCTATGAACTTAGCCCATGTAGCATCATAACCTCCTCTGCATACAGGTGAAGGGAGTGAGAATGAGTTAGGACACAGGTAATGAAAGAGAGAAAGAGAGAGAGAGGTGAAAGTGCCATTTACAGTGGGGAAACCGAGGCTCAGAAGTAAAATGACTAGGCCAAGGTCATTCGGAGAGTAAAAGACAAGAGTTAGGGTCTGCAAACTTACAGCTAAGTATTCTGTCTGCAACTCTACGCAACTCTCTCCTTCACTCAGACTTTTCCTTTTGCCATATATCTGCCTGACCTGGGACATGTCAGGATAGGCCACTGGGTAAGGAAATCTAAGGGACCCCCAGGGCTGCCCACAAACCCCAGCTCTCTACTTACCTAGGTGCTTCTGTAGGAAGGCCAACATGGCCCTCACCATAACCTCCTGACCTTCATATGGGTCCAAGCTCCCATGAGTTTGCATGGAGAAGAATTTACCGATCCAGTTACCAGACACAAAAGCAAAGTCGGTTTGACTCCGATGAACAGAACCACTAGAGGCAAAGAGAAATGAGTAACTGGTACAGGTCTGGAGGTGAGAGCACACGAATATTTGCTAAGCACCTACCACGGGCAAGGGGCTTTATGTGCACCACCTCTGAGTTTTCACCACAGTCTCGGAAGGGAAGCATTTTCCTTTGGACAGAATCAGAGGAAATGATCTGCCCAAGGTCACACAGCCAGGAAGGAAGAGAGCTAGGACTTGAATGCAGGTGTGTCTGGCTTCAAAGCTGCCTCAACCCCCAGACCACGTCTAACAGTGCTGGGAAAGGCTGAGTTAAGTAGAGTAGGGCAGGTGCAGGGCGAGGCGGCGAGGAGGCGAGGAGGTAAGGCCTGCCATACCTGCCATTCCACTGTCATTATAAACCACTGTGGCTTTTCCCTGGTGATGTTTGAATAGTCACAAAACATATCGGCTCCTTCTTCATCAGAACAGTGCCACAAACTAAATAGGAGAAGGAATCACCTGCCTTTATTGAAGTGATCAAAAAAGTAAGGGCAAACACCTATAAAAGAGGGCTTTTGGATTAGAATTTAAGTTCCTACCTATCAAATGCATTTAATTCAAAAGTGAAATTCCCACTAGGTTCACTTTGGGCTATGAGTCACAGCTAAGTATTTACTAGTCAATTCAATGAGAGAAGAAAATCTAAACGCTAAACTTTAGTTGACATCATGCAGAAAACCCGACTTGTTTTTAAAAATGTGTTGTTTAAGACAGATGAAAAAGTGGAAAAGAATAATATAATGGACACTTGGGTACCCAACATTCGGTTTAAGAATACAGTGCCGATAGTCCAATCGCCCTTGGGTTCTCCTTGCCAACTGCTCTCGCCTCCTTTCCCTCCAGAGGTCACTATTATCCTCCATCTGACTGGCTGGGGAAACTGTCAAGCCAGTCCCCTGCAGCCATGAGATCCGAAGGACAGGGGAGCGCTGGCCCTAAGGAAGACAGCCTAGCCAAGAGAAGCACGGAAAGAAGTACTGACTACGGGACTACCAGCATTCTAGGGCTTTGGATTCAGGATTTCAACTACCCAAGTGATTCCAGAAGCCTGGGACATGTAGTTCATTGTCGTTTTGCTGAACTAGGACCTGGGACCCTTGAGGCATATGTGGTCAGGCTCTGTTAGGCTCGAGTGCAGGGCAGAAGCAAGTTGGGAGACTTGTCCATGGGCCCTTAGCCCTGCACCTGAACTCTGTGCCACTTCTGATCTATGGTATGGATCTGAAGGTCACTCAAAATTTTCTTTTTGTGATAAGTGGCTCCCGAGAGAAAACCACCTGATGATGCTAGTAATGGAAGTGAATGTGGTTTCTCTTGGGGAGAATATAGATGGTTTAGGTTTATGGACGATATCTGAATTGAGGTATTCAAGGTCTCCAAAAGTCTATCTTGTGAATGTCAAGGGTCTGTTGTATTTACACTCTTCAAAAGACTCAATAAAATTCCCAAATGAGGTTAGAGATCTCTGGAGTCCATCGACCCATACTTTCCCTCTCCAACTCACAATCCCACAATACTCTTCTTCCAGAAGCAACAGGTAAATCCCATCATCGGGTCATATAAAGTAGTAAAGGAATTGCTGTAGGTAGAGCTAGATGAAGGAGGACAGACTGGAAATCCTAAAGTAATTAACACTTTGCATTTCAGGAAGTATTTAAGTATTGTGTTAATGGGTAGAACTTACAGATAATTTACAAGAAATTAAGAGAGCCATCACCAAGTAGCAAACGGAGAGGACACTGGGGATCCTGATCAAGACCCAGGGGCTTACTCACAGGACAGTTATGATCCTGGACTGTTTGTGCTGGGCACATATCTTCTTCATCAAGTTGACACTTCCCACTGTCTGGAATTCCTCAGCATTGATAAAGAACACAGGGCCTCGGGCTTTGGGGTAAAAGCCATGTTCCAGAGGAAACATCCAAGCGTCCAGAGCCACAGCACACCTGTGACAGGACCAGACATTTGGAACTGCTGTGCAGAAACCCAGGCAAGAATACTCAGGCCAGTGGGGGAGGGACAGGGTTCTTCCCTTCAGTGGGACGAAGGCTCAGAAAGCCAGGAAGGGGGTACCCCCAGACCCTTCAGTAGGGATCTTGGAGAGACGTCCCTTTTACCTGTCACCAAAGATGCTTTTAGGTTTTGTTTGTTTGTTTATATTTATTTTAGAATAGGCTCCATGCCCAACGCAGGAGTTGAATCCACAACCCTGAGGTCAAGAATTGGATGCTCTACTCAATGAGCCAGCTAGACACCCCAGATCCTTCTAGATTTTAAAGTCCCTGACAGCAAGGATCAGACCTTTTCCCGGGTCTACTCTCAGGCAGCTGACCTGGGTTACTCAAAGGCCATTCATTCAACATTCGTTGAGTACCTACTATGTGCTTAGCCCCATGCTGTGGATACAGAGACACATAACACAGTTCTTGATCTTAAGGAGCAAGGGGAGACAGAACAGACAAGGGAACAAAATAGAGCTTAGTGCCCTGACTGCATGAGGAGCTATGTGAGCCCACAGTGTGCACAGCACAGGAGGACAGGAAAAGCCTCCGTGGTGCCACAGCTCAAAGACATGGCCAGTATGTCCAGCAATCTGTCCCCTGGGGAAAAACTAAGGCCTTAAGATTAGCTCCTCTCCTCCACCCAGAGTTCCTCCAGTCTTCTCCATCTCAATAAAGGACAATCATCTCCCCCACTCAAATTCTAAAACATCCTGACTCAATTTGCATCTCTCCATCCTCCCACCTCTATCCGAATGCCAATCCATCATCTCTGACCTTGACTCTGAAATAGCCTTCCTCTAACTGGCCTCTTGGTTTTCAGTCTTGTCCTGCAATGATCTACTCTTCATACAGTAGCCAGAGGGATCTTTTTTTAATTTTTAATTCTTTTTTTTTAAGTAGGCTCCACGCCTAGTGTGGAACCCAACACAGGGCTTGAACTCAGGACCCTGAGTCAAGACTTGGGCTGAGATCAAGTTGGACACTTAATCCACTGATTTTTCCTGGAACTATCAGCACTGTATTCTTAATACTTTAACATGTAAATAAGACTTTTCTCAGGGTGCCTGCCTGGCTCAGTTGGAAGAATATGCAACTCTTCATCTCGGGGTTGTGAGTTTGAGCCCCACGCTGGGTGTAGTGATTAGTTAAATGAATAAATAAAAACTTAAAATATTTTTCTCTGCTTAAAACCCTTAATGGTTTCCCAACGTACTTGGAAAAAAAATTGAACTCTCTTTACTCTGGCCAAAAGGCCATGTGATCTAGCCTGTTTATCTCTCTGATCATTATCTTGAACCACTTCCCCCTCACTCACTGTGCCATTCCTACACTGACACCGCAAGCTTCCTTCTACCTCAGGGCCTTTGCATTACCTGTTCCCTCTGCCTAGAATGATCCTTCCCTAGACCTTCACACGGTTGGCTTCTGAAGTCTTGGCTTATGTCATTTCTGAAAGAAGCCTCAAATTACTCTGGCGTATCAGCCTTGTTTATTTTCTTCACCGCACCTGAATGCTGGGGATTTGGCTGTTAGCTTGTTTACTCGTCCGTCTCCTCCCACAATAACATAATTCCATGAAATCAGAGACCTTTATCTTCTTGTTTGCCAGAACAAACAATAACATAATTCCATGAAATCAGAGACCTTATTTTCTTGTTTGCCAGCTCCCAAACCAGGGCCTAGCACATAACACTCGTGTGACAAATACTTGCTGAATGACAGAACAGTGCACAGAGCTCACAGCAGCGTCGCTAGGACACTCACCGAAACTGGGTCTCCTTGGCCAAAGCCAAGACAGCTGTGGCCCCGCCAAATGAATGTCCCATCACAGCCACGCGGCTCATGTTGATGCTGCCCTGAGGAAAGCAGAGAACTGAACCAAATCAGAAATGTGGGGCTGCTTTTCCAGGAATTCTTCAGAGACAGGAAGCAGAGAGTGAGACAATGAGGCAGAAGCACTGTACAGCGGGTGAGGTCCCGCCTGTAGGGCAGGAACCTCGTGCCCAACGGAGAGCAGCCAGTCAGCCAATCCCCAGACCAGACATCTTCCTGCAGTCAGGAATTCTGAAAATTATGCTCTTCATCTTCGTTTTTTTTTTTTTTAAAGATTTTATTTATTTATTTAACAGAGATCACAAGTAGGCAGAGAGGCAGGCAGAGAGAGAGGGGGAAGCAGGCTCCCTGCTGAGCAGAGAGCCTGATGTGGGGCTCGATCCCAGGACCCTAGGATCATGACCTGAGCCGAAGGCAGAGGCTTTAACCCACTGAGCCACCCAGGCGCCCCTCATCTTCATTTTTGTAAGCATACCACCTGTGATGCCTGGACCAGGGAGACAGCTAAATATACGTGAAGAAATGACTGGGCCTAAATGATGGATTCCACACAGATCCATCCGTGCAAGCACGTTAGGAACGAGACCCGTCTCCAACCCCTAGATCCCTGCCTTACAGCCAGACCAAAGGGTGACACAGGAGCCAAGTCGGGGACAGAACAGAAAGCTACTGCTTCCTCCATGTCCCTCTGAAGGCAAGGGCTCCTTGTGTAGAAACAAAGCCAGCTTCTACTTCCTCTGGGTATCTGTCCTGACTTTGATCAGGCAGAATGAGTCGGCTTGCTCTTCCTGCTCTGCAAATATCTATTTCAAGTTGTCCCCAAAAGCCTCTAGGGCACGGTTATGTAAGAAGCCACTGCAGCTGCCTGCCGAGGGGTTTGGGAAATCTCTCTAGCCTTTGTGGTCGAGGCTCTGCCCTGAACCCATGCTCTCCTCTGCTCTCCCCAGTTTCCACCCTGAGGCTCTATACCTAAATTCTCTCCCTTTGCTTAGTGCCTTCAGACCAACAGCTTGGTTGATGGCCACTTCTGCTTTTTTTCATAGGTTAATATATTTATATATGCAGAAAATCAGGAGCATATAAATAAGTCACCCACATACCACATTCCCTTTCCACATAGTGGCCCAACACGTATCCCCAAATGGGTCAGTTTCTTCAGTGTCTTTGGAGAGCTAATGGAGAGCTAATGCACACACAGGTAAATGCGAATCTCTACGTCCCCACTCTTTACACAAAACTTACCTTTGTGCATAATAATATTAGTTACAGAAAGACCTTCCTTATCCTTTTTTATAACTACATCTGGTTTCCCCATGGCGTAGACGGCTGGCTGATCACCAAATCTGTCTCTCTTCTTTCCGAACATACAGCTGGACTCTGTTTCCCAGCAGCTGGACATGGCCTTGGGACTGAGTTCCAGCCAACAGGAGGAGCATGAAAGCGGTATCTCCACTTCCAGGCCTGGCCCATAAAAAAGTGTTTTGTACAAACCTCCATGCCCTTCCCCGCTCCTGGCTTAATGCACACAGTGGCCTTGTGTCTCACAAGTGGAAGAGGGTAGAGCTATAAGCTAAAAGGATCCTGGATCCCTAAGTCACCCCTTGCAAGAGGAGCACCCGTTTGCATGGGAGAGAAGTAAGTTTGTATTGCATTAAGCTACTGAGATCTGGGACTTAGGAGTTACAGCAGTTAGCATTACCAAAACTAATATCCATTGTCCCATAATCTATTCTACTACTTCCCTTACTGGAGAACACTTAGGATATGACCAATCTTTTGCCGTGACCAACAGCAGTGGAACGAATAACCTTGTACATATTATCAAGCTGCACGTGCAGATATCTACAGAATCCATTCCTAGAACTGGACATCGCTAGGTCAAAGAATATGCCCACTTGTACTGCTGATAGCTATTGCCAAACTGCTCTGTGTGGGGCAATCTGTACTCTCACGGGCAACCCAGCACAGTATCTACTTCTCCAGAGCTTTGCCAACAAGAGTGAGTAATCAACTTTTAGAACTTACTCTGCTAGGTGAAAATGTTCTTAGCTGTTTTTATGCCGTCTTTCTCCGAATGATAATCCAACTCAACTCCAGCTTGCCCAAGGCCTGTCGCAGGCTCACAGGCACGCAACCCTGCATTTCAGTGCCCAGAACCCTGTCTGTCTGCTAGGGGCCGGCAGCACACAGCGCTCTGCTGGAGAAGTGCTTCAGATGTCGGCTCCCAGCTACCCCCCAGGCAGATACCGTGCCCTGGTTGGCCTTGACTCGACCAGAGCCTTTAAAAGGCATTTGCTAGTAAGTCTGTGGGGCACACAGCACAGGCTTTGGGATCAAAAGGCCCCAGTTTGAAGTCTGACTCTACCACTTACTTGACTGTGTAACCTTGGGTGGATTCTTAGCCTCTTTGATCCTTGGTTTCTTTTTATGTAAAGAGCTAATAATGCTTGCTGCGTAAGTTTCTGTAGGGGGCTCTTAACATTTTAAGTACTCACACAACAGTAGTTGTTAATTTATATATATGTATGTATGTATGTACATATACAAACACACACACACACCCCATTCTCATTTGTGCAATGGCATACTACATGGCTATCAAAAAATCATGCCATAGAAAAATATTAACTGGCATAAGAAGACATTCAGACTAGTATGCTAAGTGAAAAAAAGGGCCACAAAACAGCACGTATTAAATAATAACATTATTGTTTTTAAAAACATAAACATGTGTTACGCGTTTTGAAGGAACTGGAAAGACAAACGTCAACATGGCAAAAGAAAAGCTTTTTTTCTGTATGCTTTTGTGTGATTTCTTGGTTCTTTAAATAGAGCCTGAGTTACTTTTGAACTCAGGTGGGAAAGATGGGGGTGGTTGCTGGGAATGTATCTGCATAGGAACCAGATTCCATAGCTGGGGCAGTTTCTATCCTCCTGGGAGGATTTTTGGGATTCCCTCAAAGGAAAGAATTAGAAAAGAACACAGGTTGTTTGTTGCTCAACAGCCCTTCCTTTGGGGAACGAGACATCTTTCCCTTATCCACGTGGCCCCGTAGGGATGCCAGTCCTGGCGCTCAGGTTCCCCTGACCCAGAAGTGGGTGTATAATGTAGGCAGGCCAATCAGAACACCCTGTCCCTCTGGTACAGTGACTGGTCCGGAAGGGACATGTAACCCAAGCAGGGCCACAGCCTTCTCAGAACAGTGGAAGCCACGAGAATCTCTTTCCCTTTTAAATTTGAAGCTGCATTGAAATATAGGCTTGGGCTGCCAGCAACCAGGGTTCCTGCCTAATGGAGAGAGTCCGGTGAGAATGAAGCCCACACGTGGAGTGGAAGGGAGCCAGGAGAAGAAGAGACAGTGCCAGAGCCCGGATGACAATGTCTGAGACCCTGGATCTTGCTACGCTGGCCTAAAGCCAGTCTGCGTTTGGTCTTCTTCACTTATCGGAGCCAACAAATTATCTTCTGGTTTAAGCCAATGAGTTAGGTTTTTGTTATATGTAACAGAACAGACCCCAAGGTCCTGATGAACACGTGCACTCCAGGTGACACCGATTGCTGCCATACCTTCAAGGTCATCAGATCCAGCCCGTCGGGCAAGATATTGAGGACGATCTGCCCAGCAGTGACCTCTTGCAGGATCCTCAACACCCGGGTACACTCGTTCACCCTCTGATGCACCTGCAACACAGAGTCGTGGTGGGGGCGGGAACAGAACACAGCACAACCATTCGGCAAGAACCTCACTCTCCGACAGAGCCGAGGGAGGGTGTGGGGAGAGCGTGCCCACCTAGTGCTCAGCAAGCACCGTGGGCTCCACGGCCTGAGAAAGGCTCAGCAACCTCCCAGCAGCTCACACAAGTGCCACCTAACAGTCCACTGGCGTCAGCACGGCCCTTCACACTCTGCCTCCCTTCCCATGGGGCGTCAGGAGGACCCAATAAGACAACACATCGGAAAGCACCCTGAACACGAAAGAAATTAGTGTTTTTTTGAATCAACCCAGTACTGGATTCTACTTGCCTATTGATAGCATACATCTATTGTTTTCGTCTGCCTAGCGCTTACCTGCCCCCAATTCACCCACTACCCCTGACTTTTGAGGACTGTGACCCCCTCAAATCTGTTGACCTATTTCTGATGAAAATTTCCCATTTGGGTACTTCTCCTGGGCCCAGGAGCCTCCCTCCAGGATTTTTCATTCTGCAGCCTGAGGCAGGTGTGACAACTGGGGGACGACCCTCCAAGGAGCCCTATTCTCTCCGGTGGTGAGGCCAGGTATATGCAAACTCAGTCTGTCCAGAGCTGTGGTTTTATCCTCGTGGTTGTAAGCCAGTCTGCAGATAAGACCAACCAGCAGAGGAGACAGAGAAGGAAAAAACATCTTGATGGTATCGGGCTCCAATCGTCCCGCGCCTGGCATGCAGCCTGTATAAGCCAGTCAATTCTCTGGTTTGCCTACCAAGATTAAATTAAGTTTCTGTCACCTGCAACTGTGAAGTCTTGATTACTACCCCCTTTCTCTGCGATGGCAAGCTCAGACCCACTCTGAGTGAGATTTCAGGACAGAAGGTCAAAGTCTTCTTAGGGACTGTTAGTGTCAGGAGGACAGGCTTATTAACTCTCCCGCCCCTAACACAAGCACAGCCTACCTGGCAATTCCGGACATGGAACTCCTTCTCCCCTTCCTCAATCTGACGGTAAGGGATCCATTCTTCCTCCAGCGGCTCGGGAGTTTGCCGGTTCTCCCCCGGGGCCTGCTTGCAGAAACAGGTGGTCGCGGCAGACCCATCCCTGAAATACACGTGCCGCTGGAGAAACTAGAGGACGCCCTTGAGCTTACTTTTCCCCTTTGCCAAATCCTCCATTTCCGCCAAGACACTCTAGGTCATCTTTTGGCTAGCAGGGAGAAAGATCTGGGGCCATACACAGGAGAGTAGAAAAAAACACTGATTTTAAAGACTGACTTGGACTTGGGCCCCAACTCAGCTGTGTCCCTTCCAGCAAGTGAACCTTTGAACTTTGGTTTCCTTGTCTTGAAAATGAGTAGAATACCTGCCTTGCATGGTCATTGTGAAAATTAGAAATAATATATGGGTAAGGGACTAGCCTCTATCCCAGCCCACTGGCGGCAACCGATCCAAGAGTTCATTATGGCCTTCACCCCTCACCTGTGCTCTGGGACAGCAACCACAAAGCCGTGGGAGGCCAACTCCATGCAGAAGGCTGAATACAGCGTCCTAGAGATGCGAGAGAGGAGAGGAGCGCTCAGAAGAATGGCCCCCTGCAGCCCCCATTCCAACCATGCTCTGCTGGTGACCATCTCAAAAGACTGAAGAGAGGAAGTTTCACCTGCAGCAGCCCTCCCTCCTCAAGGTGCTTTCTCTGGTTAGCAGAGCACTCGTCTCCCCAAGGCTCCAAGAACCATGTGTAAATCCATCCATGGTGTTTTCAAGCCCACGTGGACCCTGACTCCTCTCCTCCACCCACCCCCAATATAGTCTGGCTACTCCAACAATTGCATTTTTATTGTCTACGTATTCTTGTAGGTCTCCCAAATTAGCCGGTCAGATCCCTGGAGACAGGCACTCTGGCCCTTTCTGTAATATGCAAATATGCACCTGTAATTTACCATGTCAATCTGTCCAGCCTCCAACTTCCTAGAAAAAAAGGAATATGGCAGACACTGTCAACTGCCTAAACACTTATTTTTCTGTCCTCCTTAGTAGCAGAATCTGATTATCAGCTGAAGATACAGGCATCAGTACGACATTTGCAGCCTCCCTTGCAGCCAGGTTTATCTATGTGATTAAGTTCCAGCCCAGCAACAGAAATATAATGCTGCCCTCGTAAGTAATTAACATTCTCTAGTAGATATATTTTTTAAAGTTAAAAAAAAGGTGGAATTAATTTGAATAATATATTTTATTTAATTTAGCAGAGCCAAAACATTATCATTTTAACATATAATCAAAATGTCTGAATTAGGGGTGCCTGGCTGGCTCAGTCGGTAGAGCATCTGATTCTTGATCTCAGGGTCATGAGTTTGAGACCAACGTTGGGTATAGAGATTACTTTAAAAAAGAAATGTGGGGGGCACCTGGGTGGCTCAGTGGGTTAAAGCCTCTGCCTTCGGCTCAGGTCATGATCCCAGGGTCCTGGGATCGAGCCCCACATCCGGCTCTCTGCTCCCCGGGAGCCTGCTTCCTCCTCTCTCTCTCTGCCTGCCTCTCTGCCTACTTGTGATCTCTGTCAAATAAATAAATAAAATCTTAAAAAAAAAAAAAGAAATGTGGAATTAATGAAATATTTTATTAAGCTCTTTTTCCCCATATTAAGTCTTTGAAATCCAGTATCTTATAATTCAGCACATCTCAGTTTACACCAGCCATATTTGCTATGTTCAACAGCCACATGTCGCTAGAAGCTACTAAAATGAACAAAGCAGTTCTAGTCATTGGGACGTAACCGACGATGCTGGATAGAACTTTCAAGGAAAAAAAAAAAACGGTCTCAGGAGAGTTCTCCCTTCCTATTGCCTGGAATGTAGATGAATGGCAGGAGCTACAGCAGCCCCCTGACGTCATTAGACAGCCTTAGAAATGGAAGCCACATGGGGCAGAGCATGATAAAAGAAGTCTGGTTCTCCGGTAACTCTGTGGAAGTACCATATCATTTCTGTCTACCACTAGCTTTCTTTGAGCTGAGCAAGAAACACATTTCCTATTGCTTAGGCCACTACTGTTGGTGGTTTTTCTATTATTACAATTTGCCTGGATCTTAACTGATTCCGAAAAGTCAGGAAGCACAGACATTACATTTCCTTTCACCTTCTCTCACCTCACCTTTCCAAGGGAGGCAGACCCAGAGAGATCTCTGATCCCTTCCCAGTTCAGACTGTGTAACCTTCAGCAAGCCCACCCTTCAGAGCCTGTTTGGTCATCTGTAAGATACACACCCCCACCGCCTGCCTCACAGGACTGTGTGGAAACCAAAGGAACAATAGCACATTGCAAGCAGGGAACGTTTAAATGCACATACTGCTCCCTGGGGTGGGAACACATAGGTCTGGAAGGATTTCAGATCCTGAATTAACCACTTATGCAACAGGAGGAAACCAGGTCCCTTTCCCTCCTTGCCCTTTGGCTTGGAGTTTCATTCTGACGAATGAAGAATATTTATAACTGGGTCACCCAGGTTGATTGACGTGCGAAGTCTCAATACAGATTCTTAAAAGACCACTCTCCAAAGTCATGTGCTTACCTGCTCTCTGTATAAAATACCTGTGAGCTTAGGAGAGAATGTTTCTGACTTCTTTTTCCTGCTAGACTACAGTCCTTCTGACGGAAGGGACTCTATCTTACTCACTAATGAGTACACAACCCCAGCACGGGCCCAGCAAATGGCAGGTACTAAATTTACTGAATAAGAAAGCGACATTGAAAACCATCCACTTGCCTTACGGCCTCATCTCTGCATTTACTCTCCTGCCACGGGCTACAGTTACGAGAGACCATGTTCGGGCTCCCCAAGTGGATGCAATTCCTTGACTTATCTCCAGAGGACTCACCTTCTTCTTATGCCATGTACTTGCTAAATGAATGAAAACCTAGCAAAACATAGCCCTTGCATTCACTTAATAAATATTCATTGGGAAACTATTACTTTCCAGGTATTGTCCTAGGTACCGGGAGAGAGAGAAGACAGATATAGTTCCTGCCTTCATGGAGCTTACAATCTAATAGGAAAGACAGACCTTAAAGAATAATCACGTGTAATTCATTCACTACAATTGTGTGAAGTAGTGGAAAGTACAGGTTATCTTATGAAAGCACATTATGCAGGCACCTGGGTGGCTCAGTGGGTTAAGCCTCTGCCTTCGGCTCAGGTCATGATCTCAGGGTCCTGGGATCGAGCCCTGCATCCGGCTCTCTGCTCGGCAGGGAGCCTGCTTCCCCACCCTCCCTCTGCCTACTTATGATCCCTCTCTGTCAAATAAATAAATAAAATCTTTTTAAAAATTTTAAAAAACCATAAAAATAAAAATAAAGCACATTATGGGAAAACTTTAACTAATATAATACAGGGGTCAGGATGGGTGTCCCTAAGAAAGCCACATCCAAACTAAGACCTTGAGGGAGATCTGGAATTAGCCAGGCAAAGATGAAGGGGTGGGGAGCACAGGAGGAAGAGAGGAGCAGAACAGCAAATATTCCAGGCAAAGTGAACAGCCACAAAGCACAGAACAGATAAAAATCTGAAGCAGAAAATAACGTAGTGCCTTTATGTAAGTGAAAGAAGGTCAGTGTGTCTAGAGAGCTGGAGTGGGGCAAGTAGTAAGAAACAAGGCTGGAAACTATCTGGGACATAAATTCAGGTAAGACCCTGACAGGAGTTGAAATAAGTTCAAAGGGCTACTGTAGAGACAAAGTAGGGAAGCGATATTCATTCATTTATTCAACAACTATTTACTGAGCACTTAGTATCTGCCAAGCACTGCTCTAGGTATTGAAATTAAAGGTCATATTTGCTTTTAAAACAGATCTCCCTAGGGTAGCGCCTGAGTGGCTCGGTGGGTTAAAGCCTCTGCCTTAGGCTCAGGTCATGATCCCAGAGTCCTGGGATCAAGCCCCACATTGGGCTCTCTGCTCAGCAGGGAGCCTGCTTCCTCCTCTCTCTCTGCCTGCTTCTCTGCCTACTTGTCAAATAAATAAATAAAATCTTTAAAAACAAAAAACAAAAAAACAGATCTCCCTCAGAGCGCCTGGATGGCTCAGCTGATTGAGCTCAGGTCATGATTTCAGGGTCCTGGGATCAAGCCCCACGTCGGGGTCCACATTCAGCAGGGAGCCTGCTTGAGATTCTCTTGCTCCCTCTCCCTCTGCCCCTCCCCTGCTCATGCTCAGTCTCCCTCTCTCTCACATAAATGGATAAATCTTTAAAAAACAAAACAAGGGACCCCCCGGGTGGCTTAGTTGTTAAAGTGCTTGCCTTCGGCTCAGGTTATGATCCCATGGCCCTGGGATCGAGCCCCGCATCAGGATCGCTGCTCAGTGGGAAGCCTGCTTCTCCCTCTCCCTGCTCCCCTGCTCGTGTTCCCTCTCTTGCTATCTCTCTGTCAAATAAATACAAAAAATCTTTTTTAAAAATTAAAAAATAAAATAAATAAAAATAAAAAAACAAAACAAACAGATCTCCCTGGCTACAGTGTGGACAATGGTTTGGGGAGCGGGAAGGCAAAAACAGACACATTTACGACGTGTGACACTCTAGGATATAAACTAGACTTACATGTTGATAATAAACATAGAGACAGAATAGTCACAAAGTTAAACAGCAACATATGAATTATGGTTATTAAGCTACTTAACACAGGGGTGCCTGGGTGGCTCAGTGGGTTAGGCCTCTGCCTTCGGCAAGGGTCGTGGTCTCAGGGTCCTGGGATCAAGCCCCACATCGGGCTCTCTGCTCAGCGGGGAGCCTGCTTCCCCCCTCTCTCTCTGCCTGCCTCTCTGCCTATTTGTGATCCCTGTCAAATAAATAAATAATCTTTAAAAAAAAAAAAAAAAGCTACATAACACAGCAAGGTGGGGAAATCAGTCTCCACAGGAAGACTTCTGAATGCATACTGCCTTACAAACATCAGGCAGAGTTTCCCGAAGTCTGGTAAAAGAGACCTTACAGTTCCCCAGCCTGTGTCCTCCACGCAGAGAACGAGCACTATGTGTACACGCTTGCTAGGTGCCGGCCTAACTGAACCCTCACACACCACGCAGAGGATATCTAGGCCCCGAGAGTTCTACGGCTGTCCTGCGCTCGCATGGGGCACAGCCTCCCCCGGGCTGGGCCCTGCACTGCAGGTGTGCAGGGAGTGGGCCGGTGTCACCACTACGTCGGCGCCATGGCAGAGCTGTTCCTCCACAGGCACTGAAGGAACGAGTCTGGCTGTAATACTCCAGCTCCTTCTAAGACTTCTGTGCTGTTTATATGGGAAGAGAGCTAGAAGTGTTTACTTATAAATTTTTTTTTATTTTTAAATATAATATAAACATGTAATCAATTAGGTCTGCTTATTCATTTATCCATGAAGGAACATGAGACATGAAGGATGGGAAGACCCTGGAAAGACCCCACCACGTGACAGAGGCTTAGGGACAGCCTTCATGGGACAGTGGACCCAGTGCTGGCAGATGGAAATGTCTATCTCTCTGCCCTCTGAGAGTAAGTGAAGACTCAGCAGCTGCCATGAGTTAAGGGCTATGACAAGGTCTGAGGGACAGAAGCTCTTACCTGAAGGCTCCCATGCCATGGGAGAAGATGATCAGAGGGTATCCGGAGTCCTTTGTCTTAAAGGGGCCATTCCAGCTAACAGGCAGGCGACAAGATCCTAGCAGAGACAGGTCCTATATTATCTCCGGCTGCCCTGAAGCCAGAATCCCAGGGGCAGTCTGGGCAAAGGCATGGGTGGGGACATGTGCCCTCCTCACTGGAGAAGCACCTTTTACCGCTGAGCAGTCCAGGGCAATCAATCACCTTTACTTTCCCCCTTTCTTCCTTAGAAAGTACAAATATGATAGAATATGGGAAGATAAATGCAAAGAAGTACCAAACAACTATGGGGTAAACCCCTGAGATGCCAAGGCAGTTGACTAGAGTTCCTCATGGTGGGGCCGTTGGGGGAAGTGGATGATTCAACGTGACTTTACCCAGAGAGAGGAGAGCTAAGGAGAAACTTTCAATGATGAAGTGTGGATTTGAACCCAGAACAACATAGCTCTGTAGCCAATGTATGTAATCCTCTCCTAACTCTCCGCACCACACCAGCTCATGCATGTCCCACTACAAGAGGGCTGGACGATGGACGATGCCAGCTTTACAGTACTGTGCCTGCCTAGGGATCTCCCAGGAACAGAACTAAAAAGCTGGGAATGTGGAGTGGCGGAGGGAGCACTTACCCAAAGCCAAGCTGAACAGCAACCCCCCCCAGCGCTTGTTAAAGCGCACGTAATTGGCCAGGCCCATGCAGTACTCATAGCGGGGAATCCAAAGCGGCTGCTCCGGGGTCTCTTCTGCCTCTTGGCAGGGGTAGAAGAGTCGAAAGAAGCTTCCCTGTAGGAAAGAAGAGAGCAACTGCTCAGAGCAAGAACCCAAGCCTGGTAGGATTTCTCAACAGGCACACTCGGGGTATGTGGGCTACCAGCAAAGCAGGCCAGCAAAATGGGGCACTTAAGCGTCCATTCATATACCTGAATTTTACATCCAGAAAATCCGGAAAGCAGCAATTTTATTTTTAGCATACATGTAAGGCTTATGTTATTTCAAATAGCCGACTGTATTTTCAATGACATCTGGGGGGCACTGAAATATTTTCAGTGCTTGGATCAGAGAGATTTAAATCTGGCCCTGAGCCCAGGCCTGGAGGAGCCCTGGGAATGAGATTAGCCCTCATGCTGGCGGGGCAGCATCTGGGGTCACCCAGACCCGTTCTCGAGGCTGGCCCTTAGGAAGCAGCAACATACTCGTTTCACATGGGAGTGGGTGACAGGTCAATAGGAAGTATGTGCCTCTCGCAAGGGAGAGGGGGAGTCCAAGGGCCGGCAGAGAAGCACTTGGGAACTGGTGGAGGGAAAGTCCAGAACCAAAGCAGGAGGGAAAATGGATAAAGGCAGAAGAAGAGGAGGAGGAGCAGGTCTTCCTACCCAGTTTGGAGAGTAAAAGGCCAACAAGCACACGGTCCACTGCTCCCCCCTCACACCCTCAGGTTGGGACAAGACTGGAAACCTTTCCAGATCGGGCATCTGCTCTCAAGACTGGGCAGGGGATCTGAGAGCTGCCTTTGGAGCTGGAGCCCCTGCCTTCCTCCTAGATGGCAAAAGAATCCATCTCTGGCTACTGAGAGTTTTCTAATGGGAAAGAGAAAGAAAAAGGTCAGGAAAGACAGACCTGGGGGCTCTATCAGCAAATCCAGCTCTAACTCAGAGAACCACACCTGTTAGGTTGGCTACTGACAGGGCACAGAAGCTTCGGGGGAGATGTGAGGGGATGGAGCTGAAGCACTTACCTGGCGACCCTGTCCCTCCATCACATCCCCGCAGCCCACGAGGTGGGGTCCTGTGACAGGCGGGAAGCCCATGGACTGGTTCACCCCCATTTTTATCACCAGTTGAAACAAACAACGACCTGGGCAGAGCCGGACTTGATGGCTGAGGGCGGAACACAGAACAGCCTCTTGCTGGTTTCCTTTTAGCTTCCTGTTGCTTCTATGTGTTATCTATCACCCGTGTCCCAAGCTCCTTATCACCCCATCTCCCTGCCAGGGACTCACTCCGTCTTCCACATCATCTACTTTGCTACATTGACTTTCCCAAGGTTTAAGGGCTGCTTTGTTGTTGCTAGGAGCAGGGTGAAGGGACAGTTGGAGAAAAAGAGCCCCCATGCTCCCCAAAACCCACTCACAAGGGGACGCCTGGGTGGCTCAGTCACGGGAGGGTCCGACTCTTGGTTTCAGCTCAGGTCATAGTCCCAGGGTTGTGAGATTAAGCCTCGTGTCAGGCTCCACACTCAGCAGGGAGTCTGCTTAAATTCTCTCCCTCGGGGCACCTGGGTGGCTCACTGGGTTAAAGCCTCTGCCTTCAGCTCAGGTCATGATCCCAGGGTCCTGGGATCGAGCCCTACATCTGGCTCTCTGCTCAGCGAGGAACCTGCTTTTCCCCCTCCCTCTCTGCCTCCCTCTCTGCCTACTTGTGATCTCTGTCTGTCAAATAAATAAATAAATAAGATTCTCTCCCTCTCCCCCTGTCCCTCCCCTCACTCGCACTCTAGATCTCAAATAAATAAAAATTCTTAAAAAAACAACAACAAAACCCACTGCCAAATGTTTACTCAGCACCTACCACGTGCCCAGCATGGCAGTAACTTCTTCAGAGACTGTAACCCAGACTGTGACCTCATGAGGCCAGGATAAGGTGCATTACTAGCTCTGTGTCAGCACTGAGCTAAGCTCCTTCCATACAGTACGTTATTTCATTCTCTCCACAACTCTCTGAAGAAGGCCTGTGAAGACCCTGTTTACAGATGAGGAAACCGGCTGAATAACTTTCCCATGTGATCCTGCTTCCCGGCCGCAAAACCAGGTCTGTCTAATCCAGACCTAAGCTCTTAGGTCTACTTGGATCTACTGATCCTGCTCATGGGGGAGACTCAGTTACCTGTCTACACAAACACAGACCTAAACTACTATAAAAGTAGCACTTGGAGGGTACCCCGGTGGCTCAGTGGGTTAAGCCTCTGCCTTCGGCTCAGGTCATGATCTCAGGGTCCTGGGATTGAGCCCCGCATTGGGCTCTCTGCTCAGCGGGGAGCCTGCTTCCTTCTCTCTCTCTGCCTGCTTGTGATGTCTCTATCAAAAAAAAAAAAAAAGTAGCACTTGGGCTGTGCCTTGAGGTAGATTTAGAGGCAGGGGAGAGGAAGGAAAGCATTCCTACACAGGACAGAAGGGCAGAGATGGAGAAGAGCAGGATGAGGCAGCAGATCAGGCAGCAGCCTCATCAAGCAGGTGTGCGTGTTCCTAACTAGCAAACATTCCTGTAACTCGGCTGCTCCCTAAATTGGGGTCAATGCCGTTGCTCTCTCCCTCTTCAATCTCATCATCCCCAGCATCATCATCCTCACGTCACTTACAGAGTCCCAGGAATTACATTATGTGCTTTAATACATCATTAATTGAAAAACTGAGATGAGGAAATCAATGCTTGGCAAAGTTCGGTAACTTCTCCAAGAACATCTAGCTAACAGAGCCAGAATTTGATCAGGGGCAACGTGGCTGTTAACAGTGGAGAATATGGCCAAACTTCTCCATACCCATTCTATCCTGCCCTCCTATGCAGTATCCCTGTGGCTTGGGTGGCTTGGGTGGGTCTGACACCCCTTCCCTAACATCTAGATTTGGGCCTTAGTTGACCTGAACCGATCAGCCCTTGGTGTCCCCTGGTCCGTCTCTGGATGAAGAGTGGGCACATGACATAACTGGTCCATTCAGAGTAAAGCCCAGGACCTTGATGGTTGAAGATGGAAATGTTCTTTCTTGTTCTGAACTACAGTGATAAGCAGGTATGAAGCCTTGAAATGTTGCAGCCGCTTTGCTACCTCGAGGATGAAGCTACCCACGGAGGACAGCAGCGCAGAGAGAATCAGACAAATGGAGTCATATCTATGAAGACATTAAGAATCTCTAGATCAGACACTACCTGAAAAACCTGACCGACTTCTGGACTTCCTAGTTACATGAGTCGTAAGTCCCTTTTTTGTTAAAACCAAATGACTTTAGATTTTGATTGCCTGAACCAAAAGCATCTAAACAAATACACTGAGTCCCAGACTCACATTTTTTGTCACTACACTATTCTGCTTTTTTTAAGACATTCTGGGATGGATCAGAAAGTTCAAATCCAAGTGTGTCTGGGCAAGAAGAGACCTTATAAGCCACTTCTATCAATCCTTGCCACAATCATCTCCCACCCCCCCACCCCCACTACATACAGGTCCTCAGAAGTTAAGTGAGCTGCACGTCACAAGCAGAACTATTATCACACATTCAACTCCTGGCTGCCAACTTCCAAATGTCTGGTCCAATGGCAAACCCCAAATAACCAAAAATCTGAATGTCATTCTGTTTAATGTAGGAATATAACAAATGATTTTCTTTCTACTACTCAATAGTAGTAGAATGCAGTTCTTTTTTTTTTTTTTTTTTTTTTAAGATTGTATTTGTCAGAGAGAGAGAGTACACACAAGCAGGCAGAGAGGCAGGCAGAGAGAGAAGAGGAAGCAGGCTCCCTGCCAAGCAAGGAGCCCGGTTCGGGATTCAATCCCAGGACCCCAGGGTCATGACCCAAGCCAAAGGCAGCAGCCCAACCAACTGAGCCACCCAGGCGTCCCAGTGCAGTTCTTTTAAAAAAGAAACTAAGCTCAGGGTGCCGGGGTGGCTCAGTGGGTTAAGCATCTGCCTTAGGCTTGGGTCACGACCCCAGGACCCTGGGATCAAGCCCCGCATCGGGCTCCTTGCTAAGCAGGGAGCCTGCTTCTCCCTATCCCTCTGCTTGTGCTCTCTTGCCCTCTCTCAAATAAATAAAATCTTAAAAAAGAAGGAAAGAAAAGGAAGGAACTGAGGTCCGGATGCAGTCAGTGGACTGGCTAGCCAGAGAAGCTGAGTATGTGCTACTTAGTCCCACAACCTGACCTTTTCCCCCTCGCTGCTGAGGGCACACACACGGAAGACATAGGCAGGGGCGCATGACACAGGGCACATGACAATGAAGCAGCTCTGAGTTCTAGCTGCCAAAAAAGAGGGGCAGAAAAGAGGATCTGATGCAGGAGTTCTGAGAAAAAAAAGCACACTTCTGTAGCTTGGCAGCGGAGGGCAGAGGAGGATGGCAAAGGTTGACTTTTCAAGTAGAAGAAAGTGCGTGAGCCAAGGCACAGGGGTAAGAAAGCACATGGGAGAAGAGAAAGGTACAACGGACATGGAGGGTAGTGGTCTCTCTAGTGCTAGACAAGGAGCTTGAATCTACTCCTCAAATGAGTGATATTAAGTCTGAAGGAGCCAAGTTTGAGCCCAGCTCCTTTGCTGCATAGGTTTTTTACTTTGGGCAGATCCTCTGATCTCACCGAGTCTGATTCCCCATGGGTACAATGGAAAACTATCCATCCTCGTAGGGTTGCTAGGGAGGTGAAATGAAATAATTCATTTAGAACACCTCAATAGTACCTGGCTCTCTCGAAGTATCCAGGAAGTACTTGTTGACTGAGTGGAAAGTAGAAACTACGGATCTGGCAAATGAGTGGATTTGGCGAGGCAAGGGAGATGAACGAGCCAAAGAGGAGTCAGGTTTCAGGACTGGGTGACCAGAATGATAATAACTTCTTACGTGAAGACATTTCAGTCTTATCCCATATAGAGAAGAGTGCTTGGGATAGAAATCAGGATGAGTGGAGTTAAAAACTGCTGAACAGACAGGACTAGAACTCTCTAGTAGTCCTGGAAAGTTTCTGGGAGAATCTTAACTAAGTTTGGAAATAAATACAAACTAAAGCTAACTGGCCAGAGTGAGACATACACAAAAATGAATCTGCTTTCTCTGGGCTCACATTAACTGATGCCCAAGGAAGTAGGGAGACGGGAAAATCCTATTTTGCCCAAGAGACACCCACCCACAGTATCCAGAGTCCTTTCTAATAAATGTCATCTAATTTTCCAAGGAAATCGGCGCAGGTGTGTCTACCTTCTTTTGCTCAGCTCATCCACACAATTCATGATGGTGCCTGTCTAGAAGTCTCTCCACCCATGCAAGCGTGCCCCATCCATGAGGGCCCACGGAAATCTCTGGTTCTCTGTGCTTTAACAAGTCCTTCCACCTGCCCTCCTCTCCACTCTAAGCACTGTCCAAATCCCTCACCTGCTAACCAATCACCGGCCACCTTAGGATAGCTCTTGGGTAATTACCTATTCTAGCAGTTTTCAATCAGTGACTTGCCTACAAGTGGCCCAAGTAGAACCTAGTTCAGAGGTTCCTGAGTCTACTGTCACGGTCACCTGCGAAACTTTCAAAGATACAGATTTTAGGGTCCTCATTCCCAGAGGTCAGGTTTTTTTTTTTTTTTTTTAAGATTTTATTTATTTATTTGACACAGAGAGAGGGACAGTGAGAGAGGGAATATAAGCAGGGGGAGTGGGAGAGGGAGAAGCAGGCTCCCCGCTGAGCAAGGAGCCTGATGTGGGGCTCGATCCCAAAACCCTGGGATCATGACCTGAGCCGAAGGCAGACGCTTATTGACTGAGCCACCCAGGTGCCCCCAGAGGTCAGTTTTTAAAAACTTCCCATGTTTCTCACCAGCAAGGTTTGAGAACCTCTGGCCCAGAGGACACATAGGACTTTTTATTCAGAGATGCACCCATGCAACAAACACCTGCTGGAGTATACGATGTTCCAGCCCACCATTTTATGGTAATGAAATGACGACGGGTTTCACTGGGTTCAATCCCCATGGCTACCTAGAACCATGTTCCTGCCAATCACAAGGCTTAATGTAGTGCCCTGCATAAAACTGGTCTCAATAATTAACTTATTCAATGAATCTGATTTAATTTTTACACAACTTATGCCTCATTTCTTTGGATACACATACTATACAAAGGCTGTGGGTTTTTTTTTTTTTTTTTTTTTTTTTTTTTTTTTTATTTGACAGACAGATCACAAGTAGGCAGAGAGGCAGGCAGAGAGAGACAGGAGGAGGAGGCAGGCTCCCTGCTGAGCAGAGAGCCCGATACAAAGGCTGTGTTTTATACTTCTTTGTAGGCCGAACCATCTACCCTCATGCTTTCCTTATGTAGTAAGGACCCACTAAATGCTCCTTTACTTGGCTTTGATTTAAACCCTCTCAATTCTTTTTTTTTTTTAATCCAAAAATAAGGCTATATGGCATAGTGTAAAAAGAAAGGCTTTGGTGACAGTCTGAATTCCAGTTCTTAAATGGCTGTGATCTTGAGCAAGATCCTTAAATTCTAAGCCTCTGAGAATTTACCCATACGGCATAAATAACAGCACTCATGAGGTTGTCGATGATTAATGAATATAAAACACCTGACATGTAGAAGGCACTATAACCAGAGATAGTAACTCTAACTACAGTAATTACTACAGCATGACCTCTCTAAGCCCAAGTTCTTTATAAGTAAAATGAAGCCACTTCAAAAGTTAAATTTAAATAAGAAAATTGAGAAAATATATAAAACTTTGAAAAAATACATAAATAAGAAAAGTGCTATATTGCCTAAGGCTTGGTACATTTTAAGTGCTCACAAAATGTTAAAAATTAATTAACAATGCTATTTCATCATACCTGGCCAAGGGGCCAAGGTCTCTTTCATCTTTTCTGTATTAAACCCTTCGGCAAAGTGGAAACTTTCTCCCAGCCTTCTTGAGTCTGAAACACCCCAGCAAAAATTAGAGTGTACTAAAAAGGCCCACAAGAGCCCAGGAGATGGACAGTACCTACAATGCAGCTGTCCCATCTCCTGCCGGGATCGTGTTTCCAGTGAGCAGAAACCAGCCACCCCTTTGCCAGCTGTGTGGACTTTTCATTACTGGCTATTTCAGGACAGAGTCCAAGAGAAGCACTTCTCTGGGGCTTCCTTTCAGACAAAGCTCTCTGGGGACTTAAAGCTCATCTGACTTTTGGTCTCTGGAGGAAGTGAGGAAATATCCTGCTCTTAGAGAATGGAGACACCAAGCACTCAAGGGGTTAGCTTGAGCAACAAGTGGGCAGAGAGAGAAAGAACCCAAGATAAAGGGACGCCTGGGCTCAGTGGGTTAAAGCCTCTGCCTTTGGCTTAGGTCATGATCCCAGAGTCCTGGGATCCAGCCCAGCATTGGGCTCTCTGCTCAGCGGGGAGCCTGCTTCCCTTCCTCTCTCTCTCTCTCTGCCTGCCTCTCTGCCTACCTGTGATCTGTCAAATAAATAAATAAAATATATTTTTTTAAAAAACCACACACACACACCAAGATACGAGTGTTCCAGAGCATTAATAATTCTAATAAAAATAACCTCTCTGGCTTGTGGAAGCTTTACAGTTTAAAAAGCCCTTTTCACACATATTAGTTTATTGGCTCCACCGAAGAGCCTCACCCTAAGACTGACAGAGCAATTGCCATTTCCATTTCGTAAACGAAGAGCGGAGTCCCAGGGAGATTGCTTGATTTGCCCAAGATCCAAGGTCACAAAGCGAGTGAGCTGCGGGGGGGGCGGGCAGATCCTGGGTCTGCTGAGTCCAGGGCTCTTCCACAGTGACAAGAAGGAATGGCGACATGAAACAGCGGGAAGTGAAGGGAAGAGAGAAGCACACGGGAGGCGTGGGGCATAAAGACGCCCAGGTTTCGGGGACGTCACGTTGTGTGCTCCGGGTGGGGCTGTGGGGGCTGGGTCCTACCACCAGAGCTCAGGGTGGGATTCCAGGGGGCGCCGGGAGTGAAGGCGCGAGATGATAGTGGGAGCATTAAGGGTGAGGGTAGATACTGGAAGTGTCTGAAGAGGAAACAGAAAAGGATGAAGGATTAATGCGGAGTTACTGCGATTGAGACAAGCAGCCCCCAAACCCGGCTGGAGGATGAAAAAACCAGTTGATAGCTCAGGTCAGAACAAGAGCTTTCTCCAAGCCAACTTACCCAGCCAAGTTGAACCTTCAGAAGTAACCGAGAAGGTCAACTCCACCGAAACGAGAAACTACTCCGAACCCCGTGGCCCTTTGGTAGGTGTAGTTTTCAGAACTCATCATTGACCCTTAAAAGCACTCCCCTCCTCTCTGCATGGAACTACAACTTCCGAGGTGCATCGCGCAAGATTGCGCATTGCGACCCTTAAAACTACAATCCCCAGAGTTCCACGCGTCCCCTCATTGTTGAATGATACCGCCCAAGTCTCGGGGTGCGGCGCGATTCCTCCCCCTGGTGGTCTGAGGCGTAGCCTCCACGATTACAAGACTCGAGCGGAGGGTTACCGTTTATAGTTCCGGTAGTAACCCTCCGCCTCACCATTCCTCAAATAATTCCCAGGCGAGCCTACAAATGCCCATGGCTTCGTCTTATTCTCAGGGAGTTCGAGGTTTGGGGGAAGTTATGACCCTTTTTTGATTTACCCCTACTTTGCACTCTGTGAGAATATGAAACTGATCATTCAAGTTAAGCGCACATTTTCTACCAACCGATACTTGTTGACACTTGTTGACACTTGGGATTTTCCATTGTCCTTCTTCACCGACAGAGAACAGGGAGGACCCGGAGGGATCACTGCCCCCACCCCCTCCAGCCCAGCCCCTTCAGCCGTCATCCCTTTGCAGCCCCTATGCTGGTTCTTAGGAACACGGTGGTGAACAAGATACTGTCCCTAGCCTCAAATGAAATCACAATCTAGCGGAGGATTCCGACAGATGAAGAACTACACCACCAGCGATACGTACTCTAATAGGGGAAACAGAGGGGGTTGTGGGAACCCTGAAAGGAGGGAAATGGAACAGTGACAGAAAGCTTCTTAGAGATCTTAGAGAGACACTAAAATTGAGACTTGAGGGAATAAGACTTAGCCAGGAAGGGGATTGTGAAGAATGTCTTAATTCAGGCGGGATGGAGCACAGGAGTGTGAGGGAGGGAGTGGAGAGACACCTGAGGAGGTAGGTAGAGCCACGTCCTCGAGTCTTGTAAGCTTCTGTAAGACATTTGGATCGTTCAAGCGACTTAAAAACTTTCAACACCTTCCAACTACCTACCGAACGAGGTCCCAATTTCAACAACAAACGAGGTTTGTTGAGGTTATAGAAACAGCAGATACAGGCAAAGCGTCTGGGAGACTCAGAAAGGAAAAGAACGTTAGTCTCATCTTTGCTTGGGGTGTGGGGGATTTGCTGACAATCATGGTACCATGCATGTGTCCTCTCAGGCATCCAGGAACTGGTCAAAACAAGGACAAGGTCCAGATGTCCATCCCAGATCACACATTCTCGGAGCTAGGGGTCTTGGTGTTGAGATTTCTAGCACCAGGGGTTTGGAATATGCACAAAATGGCTCTGCCTAGTAGTTCCTTAGATATTATCTATTGTGCTGGAAGGCTCCAAAGATATCATTAACTCTTTGTCCCTTACAAGGAGGACATACATACAATAAGGCATGTGTAGGGCAGGGGTGCAGGTCTAGCAAGAATAGAAGCCCAAAAAGGAACAAAGGAAGAAAAACAAAAAACAAAAAACGGCTTTTTCTCTCATGGGGCCCCTTCGGTTTCCGTGCCTCGGCTTGGCATTGGAGCATCAGCAACCTGGCCCCCCACTACTTCCCCAGAAGTGTCGCTCACTCTGACAGGGATGTCCTCTCTTCTGCTCTGCCTCTAGCTACCTTCACCTCCTCGCCATTCTCGGGATGGATCTGGGTTATGTTTGTTGTTACCTCCATGCCTTCACTCATGCTCTTCCCTCCACTAGATGCTGCCAGGTGGCCGGTCTGATCCTGTTAGGCGCTCCTCCCCATGAAGCTTCTCTGATTCCTCCCGTCTCAAAGGACCTCTGCCCTGGTCAATTGCTGGGATATTTGTGCGCACCTCTCATGTAGGGGCTTAGCAAGAAATTGTGAGTCTCTGAGGTCAGGTGCTGAGTCCTACAGGCGATCCCCACCCACCCCCACCTCACATACCCTCAAGTGTCCAGAGTCCCTGTTTTGGTCTTTTTTAGGTTCACCCCTGCTCCTGACTCTGTCAATGCCACCATCCTTCCAGGAGCCACGATAAAGTCGTCAGGAAAGAGTGACGGGAGCACTGCACTGTGGTAATTAACCCCAGATTTAATTAAAGCTGTGGTTAGTGGCGGTGACAGCAGAATGAGAAAAGTGTAGCACACATCGGAGAATGCTCTCTTTGGCATTAATTAATTGGTGCTCTGCACCTGGCCCAGAACACCAAGGATCAACCAGAGTCATGAAAGGAGCAGCTGGGGTCATTCCTCTGTCTCCTACTACCAGACCAGCCTATGATGGGGGTATTTGCTGGGCAACTGCCTTTTAAGCTTCCCAGGGACAGGGACATCACAGCCTCCTTTACCTCCTTTGTCACTGACTTTGTCACTTTGTCACTGAAGATCTGTCTTGGGCCCAAACTCCTGTTGCAAAATAGAATGCTCGAGTTCAATTGCATTTCCTTCCAGTCTCATCTTTTTTGGGGATAAACAACCCAAATGCTTTAAATTTTTAGCAAGCAGCTGATGTTCCAGGCTTTCAGCATAAATCCTGCCCTTCAACAGCCCAAGGTTCCCTTCCAGTTGGCTACCATCCCACTCCAGCCTTCTCCTTGTTGCTAAGTTACTAACTTGATATTTAAGTGACTAGTTTGGATCTCTGCACTACCTGCCAAAATTGTTGGACAATACTTTTTAAAATCAAACTGTAATATATATATATATATATATATATATATATACATATATATATATATATATACATACA